TGTGTATTATATTGGCCTATATATAACTACCCACACGCACATATTCACAAACCCCTTTTCTTGTAGGGGAGATCAACTTGATGTCGACCATTTGTAATACATGTACGAGGTCGGCGACACCACCATTCAGGGTTAGTCACCTGGCTATTGTTAAGACACATCAAAGGCGGTGCCCTTGGGCACTTTTCTGGCCTTGACAGTGACAAGTAACCACGATTCGGCCCTGTTCGTTCAGCACTGCCTTACTGGTTTTGTAAAACGTTTTAGGAGTTGATTTTGTTTTGGATATTACCTCTGGGACTCGAAGAGGTATGTCGAAAAACAAGTTCTGCCAACACCCAAGGTCTGAGGTATTGGCTCTGAACGTATTATGATTATCTTAGAGGATGCCTTTGAGTTTTTCGGCAGCAGGCTTGTCTGAGGTGGAAGTACATGCGAAACTTGAGTTTCTCGGCTTTTCAGATTGGAAGTTTGAGATGCCAAGAGTGGTTAATTGAAGGACATGTGCTAACCTGCCCTTTTCTTTTACTTCTTCCTTATGCCTTTTTTTTCTTTTGCCCATAATTCTTTGTCCTTTCCAGGCATCTCATCAACACACACCATGCAACCTCTCTGCAACACTGGCCCTATTTGACACCAGCCGTGCATACGTCGGAGCTAAGGTTCCAAGAAAATCAAGCCTTTTGTGGGTGCGCCAGGTCCTCAGAATGGAACTTGAAAAATACCCTGAGTCCTTGTCAGGCATAAATCTGGTAGATGCCAAGCAAATGAGGTATATCGTGGCTTCTCTGCTGGAACTGCACAAAGGAGTTCCTCAAGGGAATGACGTCGAGTTCGAGATGTTAGTGACGGAATTTCTGACAGTGTTGGGCGCCGGCCTGTTCGCTCACACGTCGTCGCCCCGGGCTTCGCCTCTTGGCTCGATGTCCTTGAAATCAGAAGTGGAGCTGAGCGGGAATCTTCAAAGGTAAAAGCTGCACACAAAACGAGAGCATTTGATCGGCTTCTGCCAATATTTAAATTTCGGGAACCCTAAGCGGCCTTTTTAATCTTGTAAACGTTTCAGAAGGTTTTTAAGCACCTCTTTTATAGGCCTACGTCGAGTAATTTTCACCAACGATGCTTTCGAAAACTGTCACCCCTGCATTTTTAACTAATTGTCAAGAAAACCGCAGACAGACATGGAAAGAAGCACAGGGTGAAGTAGTAGTATCTGATCGAAATTAGCTGATTGAAAATGTTTTCCCTTTTTGAGAGGAAGTTAAGAATGCATTAAAGCGGTTATCATTTTATTTGCGCAAAAAAATGTAATTTGAATCCGCGATTTCAAGCATTGCAAAACAAGACAGTGCTTCCTTGCTGTAGACTTGTGGTTTTTATAATTCTCAAATTATGTTACTAATTTTTTTTCGAGGCGAGTCCTGTCCACACGTTTGTTGCACTAAAAGTAAAAGTGTCTATCTGTCTGTCTGTCTGTCTGTCTGTCTGTCTGTCTGTCTGTCTGTCTGTCTGTCTGTCTG